AAAAGAAAAAAAAAAAAAAAATGCAAAGAAAAGGAACACTACAACCCAACACAGTGATTGGATATTCCATCCCCATCATCAAGAATTGTGTTAGGCTGTAGCGCTCCTCTCTTTGCATTTTTTTATGTTATTAAAAAGCATACCATGTTTCGTTATTGACTTGACTCTGTTACATCAGCAATCTACTGCACTGCCTTTCAACATTAGTAATGTAAATGAGCAGCACATCTTTCACTTTGCCCAAGCTATTGTGCAGTGGACTAATCGAAGCGTACAGTGCACATGGCAAATAACTCCATGCTCCAAAGTGCAGCATTTTACCCGTCCTGTCAAAGATTATGTCCTGGGCATTTTTAGGATGATTTAGGTAGGGGAATAAAAAAAAAGTGTTAGGGGACACATTGGCAGCACCAGGTATGCAGGGTCCCCAAAATATTCAGAGACTAGTCCTGAACATAAAGATGCATTGGTCTAAATATAAAGCATCTTGTTCTACCAACTCCTGCCCTGCGTGGTACACAATCTGCAAACATACCAGAATGCACGCTCTACTTCACTGGTGCACTCTGTTATTAGAAAGCCATGGCAAAAACTTGCGTCAAACCTACAAAAAAAAAAAAAAATGGACACGTGAACACACGTGGAAAGTAAATATTTACTCACACCAGCATATTCCCCAGCGGGCATCGCTCAGTTTACACAGTGATGAGGGAGGCAGGATGTTTTTTGCAGGATAATCTAGACATCTGCCGTTAGTGTGACACCACAGACACTGAAAGTGGGGAAAAAAATAAGTGATTTACACCTCATCACACAACAACAAACAGGCATGAACGGCAAGCTTTAAATCAAATAAAAAAATAAAAAACAAAATTAAAAAAGAAGCATGACTGATGAACACCTTGAAATTGTTTTAGTCCCAAATGGCCATCAAACCAATGTTACTCATTTTTAGAGTACTCCGGTCAAAAGAAACTAAAGGTCATCATCACAGAAGTATGCCAATTGACCTTCAACACCAGGGATAGGCAAACGCTGGCCCGCCAGCTGTGGTGAAACTACAAATCCCATCATTCCTCTGGGAGCAGTCCAGTCTTGCAATACCTAATGGGATTTGTAGTTGCACCACAACCAGAGGGCTTTTGCCAACTTTACAGACTGATGTAGGAGGATGCAGATGTATGTTCCCAATATGCTATCAACCTATTCTGTGTGGTCAGTGTAGGTGATCCCATCTCACCCAATTTTATGGAAAATGGATCAAAAAGTGCTCCAAAAATACATCAACTGCACCTGTAATGCACTTTGGAAATATATTGTGGAAATTAAGTAAAGGTTTAGGGCCCAATCACAGCACAGCCTTGCATTAATCGCATGCTACTGTGTGATTAACACACACACCTTCACAGAGTGCACCCAGGGCGTGTTACTGTGCCCTAGGTGCGTTACCCAACACACAGTACTAGCACACCGTGCATTGCAGTGAAAAAAAATAGTGTAAGCAACCAATGCTGTTGGGAGGTGTGTTGGGGTGCCATTTCAAGGAATGCCAAAGCATGCTTGGAGTGCTGGGTGTTTAACACAACACTATGGTGTGATATAAATCTATCCATATACCAGTAAAACTCCAGTCAAATATTCTCATTTATGGAAAGTTCGTTCCATTATCTATTGGTTAATGGGGATCTAATCAACGTTTGTTTTTCCAACTGCAGCAACAAGAAAATCAAAGGAGCAGAATGAGAAACTTCTCCATTATCTTATCTGAACGTGAATGGGATTTGTGTTCAGGCAACAATTGTACAGATTGTAATGTGAATCCAGGATTCCATTCAAAATTGCAGATCTGGATGAAATATTTAAGGGCTTTCAAATAAAATAATGGGAAGTTCAAATGTTCGGGCAAATAACTACAGACGAATGCTTACATGGCCAGTTTTAGACCTCATTCACACAGCATACAGTCGGGCTGTACACATTCTTGCGGCATGCACGGCCGTATTGGGCAGTTCCCGGGAGGGACAGGTGTTGTGTGTAGCAGCCTGTTCTTCCCTATATGAGGATTCGGTCGTACGTACACCCAAGCGTATCCGGGTGTCTGTACTTGGACGTAGACAGGACGATCCTGTCTACGTCCGAACACAGACACCCGGATACGCTCGGATGAGCGCATGACAGCGTACGGCCGCATCCTCCCATAGGGAAGAACAGGCTGTTGCTCTCAATCCCATGCAGCACCTGTCCCTCCCGGGAACGGCCCGCTACGGCCGTGCACGGGCCAACTTAACGCTGTGTGAATGAGGCCTTAGACACATTGATGAATATTGGCATGTTTTTACACACCGGTTCTAACAGACCTCACCATGCATGCGCATCATCTGGACAGAGTTCTGAACAGATACGGATATCATTAGTGAATGGATATCTGCTAACCACTGTCCATCTACATAATACACAGAATACAAAATGTATACAATGAGAAAGGTCCCTGGGGAGGTCATTCTACAGAAACATGGAAAACCGCACACAGGAAATAGGAGAGAACCAGGGAGCAATGTTCTCCAGTAATGGTGGTGTACAGGTTCTGATCACAGCATGACCTAGCTCTGCCATGGAAATGACTATTCATTTTACAGGAGAATTAGATTTATATATTACAACACAGGGTGGGGGTTGAACTGACCATCCAGAAAGCTTAGTCACTACAGTCTAAGTACACTGACAGATTTAGGATACCAGAACACCGAATATGAGCTGCACAATAATATCTGGACTATATTCAGTATGAAATAAAAGATCTGCATCTGCAGGCTTGACATCAAGGAAGGTGGGGGAAGCTACAATGGAGGCAGCGTATGGAGTCATAGGAGCAAGCAAACACAATTGTGTTACATGAAAGACAGGATATGGGCAGGGTCCTCCTCACCTACTGTTTCTGTATGTCAATGATGCTCGTGTCTTACTTGTCTTGTCTGACCGATTGCACAGCGATGTTGAATATGTTGGCGCTATATAAATAATTGTAATTGATATAGCAGAATGTTTTTGTGGCGTGCATCTTTCTGGCTATGCAGGTTTTTCATCAGTTCCATTTTGTAATGCATTTTGTCTGCTACTGTTCAGCTTTAAAGGAGAACTACGGGCTCAGTGTTTTTCCCCATAGTTCTCCTTAGGGTAACGGGAGGACACAAACTAGCGTCCTCCGTTACCCTAAGCTCAGTATACCGCGAGCTACAGCTCACGGTATACTGAGACGCCGCAGCCGGAGCGGATCCCGACTTAGACGACGGGATCCGCCCAGCTGCGTGAGTGACAGCTGGCTGTGCCTATCTAGGAGGCAGAGCCAGCTGTACACGCCCCCTCCTCCGTCCGTTCCGCCAGTCAGCGCTGGCAGATCGGAGCGGGGAGAGGGGAATCCAGCCCCTCCCCCTGTCACGGCAGAGAGCCGTGGCAGGATCGAGAGGTGAGCGAACCCGGTATGTGTTCGCTCACCTCCCGATCTACTGAGCCGACCTGTGAGTCTCATTGTCACAGGTCGGCTAGAACTATGAGGTGAGTGAAAAACACTCACCTCATAGTTCTCCTTTAAATTACAGGCTCCCCTGACTAGTATCTGAATGGTTTAAAGCGCTTTGTAAAAGTGCTAATAAGTCATTATATAAAATGAGTGCAAATGAAGTGCAGGAATCCAAACCCTGATCATCAGATAAGAAGTGTTAAAGAATGTAAAGCTCTAGGAAGGGGAGGAAAAAATACATGCTAAAGAGCATATTAACATCTGAGGTCAAATGCTAACACGTGGGACCATTACATAATGTTCTATGGGTTTATCTCAACATAATGGAATTACATTGTCAGATTACAAACACTGTGCTAAATCCAACTGAAACAGAACTGGTTACACAAAATGGAATTCTAAACATATGCAAATAAACTTCCAGCATTAATCTTTTATTACATTAATCACGTTATCAAAGCTTCAATGTTACGTTATCCAACTATTTCCCACACACCAGGAATGCTGTGCACTGGGAAAGTATACCCAAAGCACAATGTTTAGGGGTTGGATAGATATAGGAATGGAAGGGTTAGAACCCTTTTGACATATTACAGCTGTCCATGTGTCCCCAAGAAAGATTCACCCTCTCTATGTGGGTACAATATTGATTTGCAATCGGCAATTGCCCATTAATCTGATGAGAAGCCAAGTCTGAAATAAGCACGGATGTGTAAAAAGAAAGAAAACACAGCAATGTTGGATTGACATTATGCATTCTTTGAAGAAATCAAATGGAAAAATCAAGCTGTGACGCATTGATATGATTAAAGGTATCACAAAAGTTTACAAAGCTGTGGCTGTGTACTAGGTTATGACTTTTTTTACAGAGTGTTTAAGAATTAGGAAAAAAAAAAAGATTTTGCTTAGAAGACAAAAAAATACACAATTTGTGCAAGTCAAGCAGAATATTGATTCATTCTTTATAAATGAAAAATGTACACGTATACCCACAAGAAATTTCTAGCTCTCTGGACCTTGTCAATTCAATACGCCCGCTCCATACTTTTACCAGAAAGCTTTACCTCATTGTGACTTCCTTACTTATGGAAAAGTGGGGGGGGGGTGGCCTGTGTTCCTGTAGTAGGGATGCACAGATACTAGTATAGATGCCAATACCAAGTATTTGGGCAAATGCTCAGATACCGGAACTCCGTCAGAGGGATGTCTCCCTCTGATAGGCACTACTGAGTGAGCATGGAGCGGGCTTCCTTTCCAACCAGGAAGCCGGGCGGTGGGTTATGACCCACCGCCCGGCTTTCTGATTGGCTAGGAAGCCGGCTTCACTTGTTGCTAGGCAGCTTGGCTTCCTAACCAATCAGGAAGCCGGTAGGCCTGTAACAACCTTCCTCCCAGGTTCCCGATTGGTCAGGAAGCCAGGCTGTCCTGCAACAAGTGAAGCTGGCTTCCTAGCTAATCAGGAAGCTCGGTCATGACGTGCCTCCCGGCTTCCTGATTGGCTAGGAAGCTGGCCTCACTTGTTGCTAGGCAGCCTAGCTTCCTGACCAATCAGAAAGCTGGACGGCACCTCAGGAAGCCTCGGCAGCTCTTTCGAAAAGAACATCGGCTTCCCAGGCAATAAGGAAGCCGGGCAGTGGGTCATGATCTGCCACCCGACTTCCTGATAATCGGGGCACACGGCACCAGTACTCGGCGAGTATGGCAGAAAAACGGTATGGGTGCATCCCTATCCTGTACCCTCTCTCTTACTACCCCCACCCTTCACCACTCTCTTTCCTACTTGTTTGACTCTTTTCCTTCTATTTTATGGAGTTGCCATGTACAATGAAAGCCTGCTGAATGTGTTCAGCGTTTGTTATCTTGATGGGACTGTTGGGATGTTTGGCATGCTTATTGAAGATTACGTTCCCATCTCCTCTGCAATTAATATTTTGATTAACAATTGTAGGTCACTATTTAAATAAGTGGCTCTTTGTACTTCTGCGTCAAGTTCTTTTACTGTTTAATAAAAATCTATTGATCGTGACAAAATGACCAGGTCGTTGTTGTCTGATCCCGACAAGGTTTCAACACAGGAAGCGGCCAGAATCACTCTAGCAAGGACACATGGCAGTAACAGAAACTCTACAGCAGGGGTGCCCATTAGGTAGATCCTGATCTAGCAGTAGCTCTCAAAGCTGATGCTGGTAGATCACGAAGGGTGTGAATGGCGGCCCCTTTATTCCATTTTGGTATATTTATTTAGCTGTGCACACATGATTACCTATTAGCCTGAGTCTGCTGAGCCAAGCTCCCTGACACCTTTCTGGTGGATACTGGTGGTTGAAGTGTTATGTATTACATCAAAGAATATATTAGTTTACACAGCCTGTTGCACTACAATGTTTGCAAAATACAGCAAGGTGAACCAGGAGAGAGAGTGGGGCGAGACAGCCAGGAGAGAGAGCGGGGCGAGACAGCCAGGAGAGAGAGCGGGGCGAGACAGCCAGGAGAGAGAGCGGGGCGAGACAGCCAGGAGAGAGAGCGGGGCGAGACAGCCAGGAGAGAGAGCGGGGCGAGACAGCCAGGAGGGGGCGAGGCGAGACGAGACAGCCAGGAGGGCGAGGGAGGTTTTTTTTGCGTTGGTAGATCTCATGTAGCTGTAGTATTTGAAAAGGTAGATCTTAACACAAAAAAAATTGTGGCCACCCCTGCTCTACAGGAAGCGAGCAGAAGAGTTTAAAACTAAATCTGTTCCCGAATCCCTACAGAGACTGACTTGCTTGCCGCTTTCTAATCAGAAATTTCCCCTCAATGAAGGCTAACCCTGGATTTGAACTGTTGCGTGTGCATTGTATAGCAGGTGGTCACACACGAGTAGGTGTGAATGAGCATGTATAGTTTTTCTTTCCCATCAAACTACAGTGCATAGCTGTGAACCAGCCCTATAGGGAAAAATGGGGTTCATACATGAAAGGAATTTTCATGCAACAAAATGCATGGGGCTTGCTGCATGAAATAAGGGACAAGCGTGGAGAGCCCCTTAGACAACATTAAAAAGATGAGATTGTGAGCCTTTCCCACTCTATCCAAAACTTTAAAAAAAAAAAAAATTACACTTTGGCTGCCATTCTGCTACTATTTATAAAGTGCAGTTTTTATACCTGTCATTCAAGGAAGTGTTTTCACTGCTTGATGCAATTCAACGGTATGAGATACTTACTGAAGTTTCCAGATACACAATGCCAACAAAATAGTCTTGTGACAATGTTAAAGCTTCAGATAAATATCTCCAAGGAGAGATGTGGAACATTCCAAACTCAACACAACCATAAACATGTGTCTTCAAATCTGATCATTAGCGTCGAAGGGTTTTGGGGATCAGGAAGTTGGAGGAGTGAGATAACTCAGCAGGGAGACAGACAAGGTTGGGGGACAAAGGACAGCACAGCAGGAGGACAGACAAGGTGGGGGGGACAAAGGACAGCACAGCAGGAGGACAGACAAGGTGGGGGGGGGACAAAGGACAGCACAGCAGGAAGACAGACAAGGTTGGGGGACAAAGGACAGCACAGCAGGAAGACAGACAAGGTTGGGGGACAAAGGACAGCACAGCAGGAAGACAGACAAGGTTGGGGGACAAAGGACAGCACAGCAGGAAGACATCAGCATCCAACACCTCTGGTTATCAGATGTCTGTTTACTGCAGAAGCTGTGGCATTGCAAAGGAGTTGCTACTGAAGTTGAGTTAGAGAGAGCTGAGGTGTGATAGCTGCTGCATGACTGTTTATAGCACATTACTGTTGATCTAAATCAGGGGTCCTCAAACTTTTTAAACATGGGGCCAGTTCACTGTCCCTCAGACATTGCTGGGGGCCAGATCATAGTTTGAAAAACGGGGGGCGTGGCTGTGGTGCCGCACCGCCACGCCCCCTCCCAGAACAAAGGGGGAACGTTAGTGAGCAATTGCTGTGCGTTCCAGCAGCTGCTGCTCTGGTGTGAATGGCGTTACGCTTCTAAAAGGAACCAAGGCATTTGGTTTGCCTCGGCATGCGCCCTGAGATGAAAGGGCACAGTCCGAACACAGAAGCTGCCAAGCTTCTGGAACAGCCTGTGTGTCTTCCCTGACACCCAAGCGGGGCCGGCGGAATGACTATCTCTCCCTAGACCCCGCGGGCGGCTGATTGATTGCTATATGTTGTTTAGGGCGGCTGGGCCTATTTTAACTGCTTGAAGGCCAGGTGTTTATACCCCCTTCCTGTCCAGGCTATTTTTCAGTATTTAGCGCTGCTGTACTTTGATTGACATTTATTCCGTCATGCAACGCTGTACTGAAATTAATCTTATACCATTTTTTGGGGACAGATAGAGCTTTCTTTTGGTGGTGTTTAAAATCACCACTACGGGTTTTATTTTTTTACTATATTTCGGGAAAATTACAGAAAATTTTCAACAAAAAAAATAAGTTTTTTTTTACATTATGTTAGGAAACATTTATTATCACCCAATTTTTAGTAAAACATAAGACGGGGTCACGTCAGGTAAATAGACACCAAACATGTCAAGCTTAAAAATTGTGCGCACTCGCAAAAAAACACCATACCCAAAATTGACCATAGGTGATGCTTTAAAAACTTTTGCAGCTCATCAGTTTAGTGGTATCAGTGATTGATGGCCCTAGAACTATTGCTCTCACTCTGACATTCGTGGCGATATGTAACATGTGCGGCGTAATGGGGCAATCGTCGTTTTTGCAGGTATGCGCACCCGACACGTTTGCATGCGTGTATGTATGGGTGGGGACTTTATGTGTAACTTTAAAAAAATAAAAATGTAATCTTTAATTTTGTTTCCTATTTTTTTCCCCCACACATTATTGCTATTACATAGGGGGCTAAGAAACCCGAATATGTGATAGCAAAAGATGTGACAGGTCCTCTTTATGGAGACATCAGGGGTCTCCAAGTAAAGGTAGGGGCCTGCAGCTCCCCAGCCTGGACACCCGAACGGGCCGGGCCAAGGACCCTGGAGGGCCGGATGTGGCCCGCAGTTTGAGGACCCCTGATCTAAATACTTCATATGTAACCTGTGCAATTGTAATTTACAACTAAATATTTAGTGTATAGTTATGGGCAAAAGCAAAAATGAAATATATGAAGCCCCTCACCAGCATCAAAGTGCATCTAAACCCCAAAACTGCAATATATTGCAACTCACCAGTCCTTAGATGTGGTGGCTGCAATAGGTGCCCTTTTTTGGGGGTCTCTCCATGTGTATCTTGTGAACCTGTGAATACTTCCTGTTCCTGTGTGGCTCAGCTTACCCACTCCACTGAATATATGGAGGGACCCTTGGTTGTCACACTAGGCTGCTTTAGACTACAAACATGTATCCCTCTCCATTCCCATTACATGAGGGGCAGGGAAATATGTAGTTTACACAAGATGGTGTGATGGAAGACAAGTTTGTGATTTCAGTGTAATTCACAGGACATGACAAGGACATTGCATTTCTAGCAAGAGCAACATGTATGGTCTTGTACTTGCTGAAAATGTTGTTAGCCTGAAAAAAAAGAAAAGAAATCCAGCCATCACATTTAAACTGATAGTGAAGTCAAAAGGATTTTAACCCATTTCATATGCTGATGTAATCATTTACAATGGTTATTTGCACGTTTATGCACATTTTGATGCATGTTTGTATGCTCGTACATGAAGACGCCCGTTTTGACTGGTAGCTTATGAAACATTGCGAGCAATGGATGAACACGTAATGGATGAATGCGCATTTAAACGCACACGAAAAGGTGCAACATGCTTCTGCCGCATGTTTTTGGGCATTTCCATTGGAGTCTATGAGGTAAAACATGCTTTTAACTGCCCAAAGAAGCTCATGCACCTTTTCGGATGTTTGGCATTTTCCTGCTCAGGTATGATCAGGGGCCACAGAAAATCATGGGATTTCTTGTGTTGGGTATTTAAAAGCGCTTTTCCAACTGCTCAAAAATGCCTAGGTGTGAACCAGGCCTACGAGCGACTCCTTTGTCAATAAAGTGCTATGCAGTCACCCCTGCGTGTGCTAATAAGCTGTGTGCGTCTCCACAAACACAGCAAATCCAGCTACTTCCCTCGCCCCTGGCCCTCTCTCCTACTCAAACAAATAAACTTGAAGTGTCAATGCTACTGACTGCTTCAGAAAGAACAGATTTCATACCAAGAAGTAGACAGTTCCTTTTATTGAAGAAAAGCAAACACAACTATACCATGTACCAGGGCTGGACAAATCCCAGGAGCCAAGTAGGCAATGCTTCTTTAAGTTCACAGTTGGTACCTACTTTTGAGGTTCTCTCTAGTTGTTGTCCATGGAGTTGGCTCCTAAAACATCCTCCTGGCTCCTGAAATCTATATTCATTTGCCCACCCCTGCCATATACTGTCCCAGCCAGATGGCACTGCATTGTTCTTACCGAAACATTCTTCAGACAAGTTTCACAAGTGGTGTTGGACATCGTGGAGCATTCTAAAAAAACAAAAACAGAACAGGAAAAGCTTTTATTACACAATAATTGCAACATGCATCTAAACAATCAGACACTGGTGATCCCCAACAGAAACACACACGGCTTACAAAAGGGGATTACATTTTAAAGCTGTGTCTGTCTTAATACAATAGCCTTAGGGGAAATGGGGGGGCAAGGTGCTGGATAGAGATCTTGAGCCAAAAGTAACATTTTAGGGTTCAAGCAAATGGCTAGTGCTCGGCAGCGCTCCGTAAAACCAAAAGGGGGGGAAGGGAATAGGAGCTTCCCAATCTGAGAAGTTGGCATGCAATCCAGACAAGACAGCGCCGATAAAAGGTTGTTGGAGTCCAACATTGACAAAAAAAATAAAATAATTTGAGACAGCCAACGCGTTTTGGGGTCCCAACAATCCCCCTTCATCAGGGATTTAACTCTTATTTAACAGTCAATTGGACTGCCAGATAAGTAAATCTTTGATTACTATGGCCCTATCTAGGTGATCAGGTGGAAGTTACTGAATAGGGCATAAGACAAACAAGCTCGATTGTAAAGAACCAAGGCCTTTGAAGAGGATATCCATGCTTCTGCCCATCACTGCTGCTGGTATATAAAGCATCATACAGTTGTGTTACCCATGGCAACCAAATTCTTCCCTGACATTTCATAAAGCCACACATTACATGGAGATCAGACCACAGTGAGCTGCAGGCAGTTCAGTTGGCAACTAATCTGGCCATGACCACCACAATGGGGACTTCACGGTCGTTAGAGCCATAAACCATTAAGCACTTAAAAAACACACACAGTCCCAATGACACCAAATTCTCAGGCCTTCCATCTCCAGCACTCCTACCAGCAGCCATGTCCAATCCTCAAGACGTAGCCACTGGTCCTACAGGAATACAGTGCAGATGTAATAAACATCAGTGAAAAGAGGCAATGAAAAGATCAGCAAACAGAGCGACTTTGGTAGACCAACCATCACAACTGGGAGTTAATGGAAAGATCATGGGAATGTCGAATAGGGCGAGTACTACTGTATGCTAGTCCAGCCCCTAGAAGACAGACACACACACCAATGTGGGAGGGGGTAACTTTTTTTTTCTTTTTAAGTGCCCAGAGTTAAGTCTGTACCCTTTGAAAGCCTATTTATTTATTACAGGTACTTCTATATAGTGCCGAGAATTTACGCCGCACTTTACATAGTTGCACATTCACATCAGTTCCTGCCCTCAAGGAGCTTACAATCTAAGGTCCCTATCTCACATATATGCATTGAGGGCCAACTTAGAGAGAAGCCAATTAACCTACCAGCATGTCTTTGGAGTGGGGGAGGAAACCCACACAAGAATAGTGAGAACATGCAAACTGCTTGCAGAGAGTGTCCTGACCAGGATTCGGACCAGGGACCCTAGTGCTGCAAGGCAGAAGCGCGGACCACTACACCACTGACTTGGTGCCTATCCTGATCCTTTAACAACCAAGTTACGCACCTGGAATAAGTACACAGGACAGAAACCCAAGCTTTACAGACTGTATGCCTGCTCCAGATGAGTGACCCACCAAGTAGTCCCTTAGTAGAAACGTCTGAGTATAGAAATATGGAGTATTAGCTGTGGCTCACTTATTTCACTAATAGGATGTGTCAGGAATCCCAACAACTAATGTTCACGTGATTTCATTGGTCAGTAACTCACCAAATACCAAAAGCAGGGAAGGTGACAGCCTCAGAGTGTACACCATTAAAACAAGTTATCAATTGCAAGTTCCACATTTCTGGCCTGACAGGTTCCCTTTACTCGCTATACTGCCGAGACGAGTGGCTGTAAGCTCATTGATATGGATGAAGCAGACGCATTTGAATAACAAAGCTCATTTAACTATGGTTGGACCTTTGAAATCAGGTAATTATTGGGTCACCGTTGTGTGAGCGGACAAGTATTACAGGTGTTGTATCTTATAACAGACTATTTAAATATAATTACTGCTGTGGCATAACATGTAAGAGTTACATACGAGTTGTAATCAACATACTCATGACAGCACTATAGTCTCATATTTGTGACTGATGACATGCTCATATGCGAGTGTTTATTCAGCCAACTGTCAGAGGATGGAATTATCATAGGGAAGTATTTGTACAAGAGGCATGACAAGTGGCACGCTCTGCACTGAGGTGGTTTATCTCAAACAAACCGGTTAATGAGGTTAGCTATTTAAACAGCTAGTAAATCAGAGCACAGAACAACAATCCTTTGTGTTTGTTTTGCTCAAGCACCATAGGTTTCCGAAATAACTGTTGTGCTACTGGGAACAATAGCATGACCCAAGAGAAATGTCAGCAAATGAGCGAGTTAAAAAGTCACATTGAAAGTGTTAAAGCAAATTCTCAGCCAGATTAACCTGCTTAGTAATTCCCACTTCTTCACTATATGCAGGGGAGTAATGCAACGTGCGAGCTTCTCCGGGAATTTCGGAAAAGGGAGAATTAGATGGAACCATTTTGCTCATTGTTCTCTTGCTCTATTTTGTGATGAAGATACATTCACCTGTAATATTCATCATCGTTTTTCCATGCTTACTCAATACAGTGCCGTGGGGTTTGGCATTCAAAAAGGACCAGTCATAATTGGACCTAAACTGCTTTATAAACCACTAACAATAGAGTATTTAGTAGAACCTGTTCCCTCACATATATCAATGCACCTTTATTTTTTTTAATCTCTTGCCACATTCCCACAGGATATCTACTGCCTCTGACCCACCATTTTTAAAAACAACAATCAGTGGCTTCCTCATTCTTTGACCAGCCCACAGATGACGCATGAGCTGTGACATATTGCACCCGGCTGGGAAAAGAACTTGCAAACTATTGGAAAATGTTGGAGATTTATTTGACTTTTACTTGAGTGTAATGTTGTACAGCGAATGCACAAGATGAAACACATAATGTCATTCATCTCATGCATACACCAAATGACATTACACTCAACCCTGACTGAAGTATCAGGCTCAGATTGATTGAAGCAAGACTGTCCCTTTATAAAAACAGAAAACGCACTGCCAGGTATGAACAGGCACCCGCATACACGCAGTAGCTTTTAAGTAACCCCTGCTTCACCAGACTACCAAATCTTGCTGAAACCTTTTTGTCCCCTGCACATTCCTATTGGGAAGCAAGGCAGATCATCATAAGGATGGCCCAATAGAAATGTGAACGGTGGGGAGAGACCGGGCAAGGGTGGATTGGATTTAAATCATCACCTCTGTCCTGCAGCGGCTCCTTCTCCAACCCGCTATTGACTCACCGACAGTCCCATTCACTTTAATGGGAGGGCTGGTGATGCGGCAGTGACACAACAAGGTGAGGGACGTGGCGGGCAGCAGGTGAGTGGATTTGCAAAACAATGGGATAAAGGAATATTCCTGAACTTTGTTTTATGATTTATCTCATGGTTACTTACTGCGAAATTGTGTGAATGCATCAATGCAGTGCATGTTATCTCAGCTTGCAGAGCTTGGATTCAGTGAATGTAAATATTGCAGAATATACAGCCTCATGCTACATAACTAAGCACCATTTCATGCTGAATAAACTAAATTATTAATGTATCTTAAATAGAAAACTATCTTTAGATAGATTTGTACTCCAAAAGCATTTTATTAAAAAAAAAAAAAAATTGGTATAAATCCTCCCCAAAAAAGAACAAATCTGATTTTTTTGACTTTTTTTTTTTAAAAATCATCGATTTGTATCCACCCTGTCTGCCACTAACTGGATTGCTGGCAAGTCACAAGAACCAGGATTCAACTGAACCGGGAGTAATGAAAGCTGCTGCACACATCCTCAGAGATATTGTGAGTCCATTGCAATCAGAGACTAATAATGGCACAGAGTATAACAGCATTCACCAAGCAAATAACCATGGCCCTAGGTATGAATAAACACAAAACAGAAGGCAGCACTAGTCTCAAAGTCCTGCTTGCAAACTGTAATATAATTGAAGGAAATGTCCTCATCTGCCATTGATTACAGAGAAACAAGTGAGCATAAACACTACATCTTCGTGAAATACTGTATATGCAGCAGTATTTATTTCAGAGCCAACTCTATTGGCAGCAACTAGAGAAAACCTTAAAAGATGGGCACCTGCTATTTTTTTTTAGGATCATTGGCTACCTGGCTACTGGAATCCTCAAACCTTTCTTCTACATCCCCTAAGCCTTCGTTCACACCTGAACGTTTTGTAGCGCGTTCTACGCTCGACGAACGCTCTACAAAACGCTCAAAAATATAAATCCCATTGTATTCAATGGTCTCGTTCCCACCTTGGCGTATTTCCGCCCATTCCTAACGCGCTACAAAACGGCCCACGCCTGAAAAGGTACGGGTACTACTTTGGGCCGTTTTGTTGCACGTTTCCATTGGGATACAGCCAAGTAGCCTTCGGAAACACGCAACTTTTTTACCGCGAATCGCGGTTAAAAAAACGCGCGACAGACACGCATATGCAATACGCCTAGGTGTAAACGAGACCAAAGTTTCTACTGTAGATATTGGGACCAGCACATTGGGAGCCCACAAAACACACAGCCCTGTGTGGGAATGGCTAGAAGGAGAGAGAAGTGGAGACACAACCGTAGGTGGGGTCTATGGAGGACTGCATCGCTTACATCCGAGCAGCCAAGAGGTATAGCTCCCACTGTGCTGATGCCAGCATGTACATGAGAAGATTTCAGGGATGTAGAAGAAAGTCCTCTTCACTAGGGGGCAAGTCTTCAACTGCTTTGCCACTAGTAGGAATTCTGTGCCCAGAGTTGGCCTTTAATGAAGGAAAACGCAGGTAGAAGTTACCTGAGCTCCCCTACTGGAGCTCAGGTAGGTATGGATATGCAGGAACAATATGCGGAGGCTCAGATACACCTGTAACATAGCAGTGTCCTGGATGCTTGAAGGCGATAGAGAAAAAAAAATAAAACATTCTCTCACACACAGCATTGCCCACCTGCAAGTACCTCTTCCAAATGAAAGAGGGTATCTCTTCTGCCATAAAATCTTTCCTCCTGCTAGCATATTTTTCTTTTTTTTTCTTTACTACTCATACACTTACAGCCGCACATGCGTAGCTCAGTGTGCAGCATCAGCACCTGAGCAAGCGTTGGGATGATCTCCCGCGTGCATGCGAGGGAGTTAGGTCATCCCGGGCCTAGCCATTCAAGGTAGCTGAAGATTCAAGGACCAGGAACACAGAGGGGGAAAAAAGCAGCAGCAGCGGAGGGACAAGGGACATTGCAGGCGTTACAGAGCTTGGGGGGGGGGGGGGGC